TTACTTTACTGCATTACTATATCATAATTTATTGATTCTAAAATTCACAAAATTACAATGGTCTGGCAGAGTATATGTATAAAAAGACGCAAATCTCCAATCGCAGTGTGTTGCAAGCATGTTACAGAGTGTGTCAAAAATGTGCAACACAATGCAGTACGCAACTGACGATTCCGCTGATTCATCCCATCAAATGACGTAAATGATCCATGCTTACTAGTAGAACCATTAGAATGAGTAATTCCAAAGAAGCTAACCATAGTATAACTCCACTTAAATGTCAACTTTTATATGATTTAATTCCAATTACACAGAATGGCCACTACTGAAATTCCTTGATCTGCGTTCATCGTAATCGACTGACGATGAACGCTCCAAAGTGTTTAAGGTAAAATTGTCGTAGCTGAAATACAATATATATTGACAGAAACTGTTGATGAGACTAATAAAAGGCAGAGATTTTATGAAACAATACAAATCAGAAAACGCAAATTGGAAAATTATCAAAAACCTAATTTTCTATCGTTTCATGACCGAATCAACTAACATGTATAATCCCGGGTTTATTTCAAAATCACGCAATCCGTCGATCTGCCGCAAATCATTTTCTACGGCTCTGATATCACCATCAAAAATATCATGGAAAACGCAAGTATTTCCAATTTCGGTCCAATTAATAAAATGATTCACTCTGGTTGAAATTAACAGTTTAGGTCTTCTCAAATTCAAGCGTTGTAAATTTTCAATATTGACCTGAAAAACAAGAGTATTGTTTTTTTGTCACGATTCATTGTCCTATTCTCGATCCAGAACAAACTTAATTTCCAACTCAAACTAGAAAAATATAAAGTCTTTTAGCAACTATTTTCATATCTAAATTTTGCAACTATTTTCATATCTAAATTTGCTTGATCCATTAAAACTGAAACCGAAAACCCTTCATCAAACGAATTTTGAGCAATAATTCTGAACCTCATGCTCCTCCCCTCCCGCGAACAGTACCTTATTTCCATGAAGTTTGAGGAGACGAAAAAAAAGAAATTAATAGGGAAGGAAGAAACATTTATTATTACTGCATACCTTCAAATAGTTGAATTACATGAGGATTCCTAAATGGTGAGTAGTTTTTAAAACGGTAACGCACAAACTTTTAATAACTTTCCACTCATTTTCAATAAAGTAGTTTTTGAAGAGTGAGAATAAGTTGCTGACAAAATTAATGCAATAAATCAACTGTATAATGACCTAACATTATTATAAAACATGATATTCCAAGGTATTTCTAAAATCAGAAACTTCCGATTTTTGGATTTCCCAACTGTCGCCATGGCTCTGAGTTTCACACTTCTGGCTGTTCGTAGTTCATCGAGGAAACCAAAGGAAGTCATCATATTTCGACTATTGATATAATGATTAGTTATATTCACAGTTGTCATCACGCAATAACGGCATTACTATGTTCTGAAAATATTCGATCAGCCTTCAAATATGCTAAATTGGCCCGTTTATCACTTCTGGTACTCTTCTTTTTTGACAGCTTTGCTTTCCAGACATCATTCTTAATTGATGATAAGTTCAATTTTTATTCTGCGCCATTGTAAATCTAAATATGAATGTCGATAGGAAAATGGAAAGTACTTAATGTTGTCGAACGAGGGGACATATACGTTGAAATTTGTGCGATATTGCTATCCACTGGTCGGCGATTAAGTAACTCAAGAAGATGGGTTTTCATGAAATTTTCACATGATTTTTGATTACATGAGCCCTCTCTACATACGTACATCACCATTTAATACAGATACCATCTTTCAGTTCCTTTTTTTTAGTTAAGCAGAGCCACTCAGAAAACAATTCGGAATCTTAATTGCAATTCGTTTGATAGTCATCTAGCATCTCACTTTTGCTTTTTGTGCTTAATTTCTGCCTTCTATTTTAACTAGTAATCTTCACAAATCACGCAAACCGTTACCAATGATACGAATAATCCTCCATACTTGATAGTGCCCCTACCAATGCAGCAAATGCAATTGATGGGGGAAGGAAGCTGGGCGTTGCAGGTCTTTTCGCACGTATAGCAGCGTTATATCCTGTATTGACGAGCCTTTATTTCCGCCCAGGCGCTTGACGACTACTTTTTTCACTTTTCCGTCATTTTTTCTACATAAGCCAATTGTAACAAACAAATAATAGAAGAGAGAAATTTCAAATCTTCCACTTACGCTACATACGTGAAAAAATGAGTTTTTGCCTACTTTGGTGTTTCTATGCTGTGGATGCTTTCAAAACATAAAGCAACAATTTTTTAAAATGCGAAAATGCAAAACGTATTTTTATTTTTTGAGAACGTATTTTGAAAATGCAAATTATTGACGCAAGATTATTAACAATTGGCATATTAAACAAACTGTTTGCATTTGATTATGTTGACAGCCGAAATTAAACATAAATTCACACATTTTTTTTGAATATTTCGGAAATTTCCGGAATTAAACAGGAAACGAAATGGAGCTCATTCGTTATTTCACAAAACTGCAATGAAATTTACATATTCATCAAAATTTAAAGGCATAAAAAGGCATAGAAGCAAGGCATAAAAAAAGATTTCTATTTCAATTCTTTTTGTTAGAAATTCTCTTCAGTTGAAAACAGTGTTTTAAAATTGGATTATATTATTTAATTTTAATTTTCCTTACCAGAAATTTTGCTCAATTAACGGTAATGTTTTCAAAATGATGATCTGTTATGACGAGGTAATGTTTTTGAAAACAGAATAGTGCATTAACATAATTTTGAACCTTCGTATTTTGAAGTCTGAATGGATAAAATACTGTTTTTATGAAAACGATAATCATCTAAACTATTTTTGGTCTGAATCTTGCAATTTCCATGGAAGGAAAAAATATGATAAGTAAATCTTGCGATTAGAAGATCGCAAATCATGACCAATTGTCTTACCTATATATATTAAGATGTCATTCGGGAGATCCGAGCTTTGTGGAATTGGTCCCTAGTGGAACGAATGCTCGATATATACGGTGTGGTTTTTGTAACTTTAGAGAAAATCTTTCCAAATATTCCTCACTATTTATTAATATAATACTTTGTTTTGGCTCTCTTGCAGAAGCAGACAACTTTCATACATTATTCAGAATTGTTGAAAATGATTGTGAGAACTATTACACAAAAAACATTCTTGTATAGTTTTAGTTTCCGTGACCAAAATCATAATGTTATGGTATAACTTTTCAAAACTCCTAAAATTACTGCTGAATCGATTTAATAAATGTAGTGGTGGTAGTCTAAACTTTGCACAAATATGTGACCTTTGCATGCTTCGGCATAAAAAAAGGTAAAATCTTTGTGTAATTTCGATTTAGACTGAAGACAAAAAAAAGTGCGAAATGGAATACTTAAATTAATAACTTGCACGACCAAAATGTTAATCATTGTCAACTGTTGCATTAGAATTTATTCCTCAGCTTCAATTTTATAAGCTAATATTTTTAAGCAAAAAGCAACCACAGAATAAAAATTCAAATTTAATCCTTGCACAGACATTTTTCGAATTTTTGCAATCATAATCCTACTTCCACAAGCTTTTCCATTGCAAAATATATTTTCCTATTACAGAGAAAATGTAATATTCTTCGAACAGGAACCACTAAAACAATAAACCGATGAAATTCTTATGGAGGATTTGAAGAACATCTAAATGACACTGTCTGTTAATATGTTATTGAGTTTAGAGGACATGGGAAACATTAAAATCAAATATTTCACGAGAAAAAGAAGTCAATGCTGCTGGGGGTATTCGAGAAGTGATTATTTCAGAAGTTAAAGCAAAGAAGATAATTGTTGCTGCAATTGCGGGAGAAGAACCTGTCGTCGTTCTGAAGCTCTTCAAGGGAACTTTGTCATTATTGTCGAAAAATCGGTGAAGAAGAGAATGTTTCTGTTGTAATTGTTGGGGAAGATGTGGAAAGGGACGTTGTTGTTGTAGGAGAAATTGTTGAAGAAGAGAATGTTTCTGTTGTAATTGTTGGGGAAGATGTGGAAAGGGATGTTGTTGTTATAGGAGAAATTGTTGAAGAAGAGAATGTTTCTGTTGTAATTGTTGGGGAAGATGTGGAAAGGGTTGTTGTTGTAGGAGAAATTGTTGAAGAGGAGAATGCTTCTGTTGTAATGTTGGAGAAGATGTGGAAAGGGATGTTGTTGTTGTAGGAGAAATTT